ATGTTTCTCCAAGTAGATTTATAACTTGGGAGGAGATTTCTATTTGCAGCCTAAATCTCTGGCAATTCAGGTTAAACGCCTTTTGCTTGGTTATGATAAATGGCTTGACGTTCTTAGATGCCGTTCCCACCACATGGCCAGGGGACATTTAAGTCAACGGTGTTGCTCAGTCAGGGGGAAACTGAGCTCCTTGGGACACCGAGTCATCAGGATTAGATGTGAAGGAATCCCTTCCTTGAAAACTGAAGCAGTGAGTGTTACGGCTGGGTGCTCATATCCTGGACCACGTGGGAGCCTACCACAGGAGAATTGAATATTAAGGACATCTGAAAAATGCTAGGCTAGATGTTATGTCTAGTTTCAAAACAGCAAAGACTGTTTGCCTTCTACTTGTTTTGTTATTTATTTATTTATTTATTTATTTATTTATTTATTTATTTTGGAGAGGTTTTTGCTATAGGGCGCATGCGCGCACCAGAAAGACAGAGACAGAGAGACAGAAAGCGAGAAATCGCCTCCCAGGGGGGTGGCTACGCCACAATCCCTTCTCCTCCACTCCTCTCAGAATCTTGGGCATGCACGCACACGTGCCTGGTGTGTTCCTTCTACTTTTTAAAATGCCTCAAAAAACAACTAGGAGACATAGAGATAGAAATGTAAACTCCCGGGACCAGCAGGTGGCGTGGTGGTTAAGGCGTTGGACACTCCACATGGCTGATCAGGGTTTCAGTCCTGAATCTGGTGGCTTGCTTTCTCACTTCCTCTCTCTCTCACTCTCACCCTCTGTCTCTCTCTGGTCAAATTAAAAAATAAATGAATGAATAAATAAAAATAAAATGAAATAAAAAAATATTTTTTAAAAATTAAAAAAAAAACAGAAATGTAAACTCCGTCTTAAATAAAATGAAGAGTCCCCATACAGGAGGGAGCATGCCAAAGGCAGGCAGAGGGAAGAGTGGATGCCCACAGTAGGTGCACAGGTCAGCAGGGCCCAGGGTCTGTGCTGAGTGGCCACCCTGATGGGAGGAACACCCGCTCTGCACAGAGCACCCGAACCGCGGGCTGGCTCTTGGTAGAGGAGACCCGTGGCTCCGCTTGGCAGAGGAGAAGGGCGTGTGCGGCACAGCAGGATCCCAGAGAAGGGCCCTCTGGGACAGGGTGTGACCTGTCGGCATGGGAGGGCAAGGACAGAGACCGCACGGCCAGGCCCGAGACTGCACGGCCAAGCCCCTGCCTGCTAGCTTTGGTTTGGGAGAAGTCGGGTGTCCTCTCCTAAAATGAGAAATTTCTGCTATCTGGAATGTAGTGTTGGTTTCTTGTCTATATTCAGAGTACCTCCAGAGGCCAGCAGGTGGCATGGTGATTAAGGTGCTGGACTTCCACAGAGACAACTGTGGTTTGAGTCCTCAACACGGTCTCTTGAAAATCATGTTGGGCACATGTGTGCGTGCATGCCCAAAATCCCAAGAGGACAATGGGGGAGAAGGGATTGTGGTGTGGCCATTCCCCCTGTGAGGTGACTTCCCACTTTCCTTCTCTCTGTCTCTCTCTGTCTCTCTCCAGCAAGCACATGAGCCCTATGACAAAAACCTTATGGAAAAATGTGCTCCACTCAAAGATTTGTCCACTATCAGAGATATGCTACAAAATGAGGTTGGGGGCAACAGGGTAAAGGGCCTGACCGAAACCACTTGCCAGAAAATGCTCCCAGTGAAACAAAACCTGCCGCGGGAGACGAGACGTGTAGTCGCCCACACCACTGCGGGATTAAGGTACTTCTGTAACACAAGCCCCACGCAGAGCAGGATTTCAAGGGTGACTTGGTGAGACAAGAGAAAAAGGAGCTGACAGGAAGAAACAAGATGTGGAAGAGAAAAATAAGCCCGGCAGAGATGAAAGTGGGCAGAGGAGAACAGCATGGCACTGAAAGCTGATCAAAGCACAGCAAGGAAACAGAGCGGTGTAGACCGTTAGGAAGGATTCAAGAGAATGTGAACGATATCAAAGGGACACCTCTCTGGAGTCTCTGGAAGGAAGAACCAAAGGAACGGAACAGTTACTGCAAACACGAGGTGAGGAGAGGGAGCCGTGTAGGAGGAAGAGGAAGGCAGTGGGCCTCTCGCTTCTTCACATGGGTCATGTGAGGCCTATGGATTCCAACGCGACACGTACGACACAGCAACCTGCTCTCCAGGTCACCTGTCACAGCTACTTCACCAGCTTCTACTGACAGAGGACATTCCACGCTGCGAGGACTGTCATGACACCTGTGGGTAGGCTTAGACTGTTTAAAGTGTGGTGCATGGGACCAGCAGGTGCTGTAATGGTTACGTCACGAGACTCCCACATGGTTGACCACTGTTCAAGTCCTGGACCAAGTGGCTTGAAACCCATGTCAGGCGTGGTTGCGTGCATGCCCAAAATCCCAAGAGGAGAATGGAGGAGAAGGGATTGCGGTGTGGTCATCCCTTCTGGGGGGTGATTTCTTGCTTTCCATCTCTCTGTCTCTCTCTCTCCAGCCCACACATACACCCTATAGCAAAAATCTCTGAAAAATAAATAAGTAAAAGCGTGTCTATGTTGCCATTGCATTTGGGTGTGTGTGTCTGTGTGTACGTATGTACGCAGTCCAGCTCGCCATCTGTTTTTGTGAGTGAAGACTGCCTGGGACACGGATGCCCACTACCCCACGCATGGTCCCTAGCACCTCACGCTCCAGCGGCAGAACTGAGTCGCTCCAAGAGACCCTGCGCTCCATAAGGCCTAAACTATGGGGCCCTTTCAGAAAGCCTCCACCTCTGACATGAACTCTCCCTAGGAAAGACACGAGGACTGGAAGCAGTGGCCACACTGCCGAGTGGACTGAGCGCAGGGCAGGAGGAGGCTCACTTGTCCCTCCCCGCGCCCGCGGGTCCCCTCTGAACTGTGTCCTGTGTGTGTTGTATGACAGCAGGGAGAAGAGGAAACAGCGAACCGGAACGGCCCAGCCCTGGAACCAACGTTCCTGGTCTTTCCACGGTCCTGGAGGGCAGACCGGCGATCCAGACCGTGTTTCCAGCCAGAGCAGAGAGCGCTGCGTCCAGGAGGGAGGACGCAAGGGAGCGGGAGAGGCTGCTGCGGGGCTGCACACGGGGCGGAAGCAGGCCCCACTGTCCCTCTTACGTGAAGGAAGGAGGGACCGGGTGTGCGGACAGCGTTCAGACCCACGCACACACGAGTGAGCTATTCTAGTAGATTGCATTTCAGAAAGTAACATTTCATTTAAATTAATACTCTCTTCTTCCACTCTGGTTCCATTCTAAAATATGTAGGTTTTTAAACTGCTTCAATGTCATTTTCAACTGTTTTAAACATATACTGATTTAGAATATAATGTATCCACCTGCGAATGCTCACAAAACAACGCAGCTGAGGCGGGATTGTTTTAAACCTCACCTAGTGCTCGGCTATGGTGCGCAGGCTCCCTAGATGCGGCCTCGGGGAGGCTGAGCCACATGGGAACCCTGGGTTGGGCTCCTGGTCTAGCCTGTTTTACAGGCCAGGCATGGTGGCACCTGCCTGCAGGGGGTGGGGCAGGAGGATCCCGACATGGGGAGGCACTGTCAAAACATGAACATCTCCCTCCCGTCATTGAAAACAAAACAGGGGCCGGTAGGTGGCGTGCTGGTTAAGGTACTGGACTCTCATTAGGCCACCTGCAGTTTGAGTCCTGGACCTGGCGGCTAGCTTTCTCACGTCTCTCTCTCTCTTCCTCTTTGTCTGTCTGGTGAGTGCCCATGGCCTATGGCCAAATAAAATAATAATAATAATAAAAATAAACAAGTAAATGAATAAGTCTTTAAAACAAATAAATAGGGGCCAGAAGTGGTGTAGTAGTTAAGGTGTGAGATTCCCTCATGGCTGATTGTGGTTCAAGTCCCGGACCTTGAAAGAAACTCATGCCAGGTGCATGTGCCTGTGTGCCCCAAATCCCAAGAAGGACTGTGGCATGACCATCCTTGCTAGCGGTTAATTTCTCACATTCTTGTCTCTCTGTCTGTCTCTGTCTCTCTGGCGAATGCGCGTTCCCTATAGCAAAAATCTTTCTCAAATCAATCAATCAATCAATAAAATGAAACAAACCTCATTTAAAATGAAAGAGAGTGACCTATCTCTATCCTCAAACGATTTTTTGAAAACCGAACATCTCACTTTGTGAGTTCAACCCTATGCCAGCGCGTCGTCTTCGTGACTTATCTGCTCATGAGGACACCACATACGTGGGATACCCAAAGTCAGTAGTTCTGCTCTCATGCATGTGTGCGTGTACCTGCATGTGCACCTGCCCTCTGGCGGCGTCTGTATGTAGCCAGAATCACCCCGGAAGTGACCGTGAGACACGAAAAGCTTCGCCGTGAGGCTCTCATCACTCCCCCCCCGGCACGACGACCAGCTGCTTCCTGAGGCTGTCTTAGAGCTTTTCTGGAGCAGGCGCCGCGGAGAGGCAGCGAGCGAAGGGCCCCGCCAGCCGCTGCCACCCACCAGGGCACAGGTGAAGCGTGCTCTCTATTACCCGCATGTAGCCAGGGCGGCCCGGACGCTGCCGAGGTCAAGCCACAGAGGCCACTGCTCAGCCTCCACATGGGTCCCCAGGGCTGCCACCAGTGCATGAGACCAGGGGGCACCTTCCCCTGGACGGTGCGGCCCAGCTCCAGGGTGTGCACACGCAGGTCGGGCTGCTGCCCCCTCTGCCTGTCCCCAGCCTCCAGCCACATGGACAGCCTGCATGCCTGTGGATGGCCGCCCTGCGAGCTCCCACTGGTCAGCGTTGGACATCCAGGTTGCCGTCCCTGCCCTAGGGTTTCTGCCCGCGGGAAGGTGGGATCGTTTTCAACAGCCCTGCTACCAAGACCTGGTCTCATTAAGACACTAGTGCCATGAGTCAGCCCGAGAGAGAGAGTGGTTTAGGACATGGAATGGCTCCTCCCACGCCCCCACAGGGATGTCATGTTGAGACTCACTGTGGTAACTCTAGCCACATGACCCAGGACGGGGACCAGTCGCTAGGCGGGGCCGCGTTGTGGTTGGAGTCCAGGCCCTCCGGGCTGCTGTGGTCTTCCTGGGGCTCGTGTTCTCTGACTTCCAGAGCTCTGAGTACCACCGAGGAGGACGTGCTCTTCAGCAGTGCGACCGCCTCGCTCCGGCTGACTTCGGTTAGCTCGGTCCCATTCACGTTCAACAGAATGTCACCTGATGGCCAGAGAAGCAGAAGGCAGCCTGGGTGGGCGTGTGGACGGGGAGATCGGAGATGGGCACACAGAGAGGACAAGGGCCATGACGTCAGCACCCCGACTCCACGGGTGGCTGGGTTGTCATACAGAAAATGGGAACGAGTGTGCGCCCCAAAGCGCTAGCGTGTCTCTCTTGGGCTTTCTAAAGCACACCTCTCTGTGGCTCTTGCCTTAAAAAAGGCAGGGAGGGACACAATTAACCGTGTTCGCTATTTAATAAAAGAAAGCTACCTTCTCGTTCCATGTTTGTTTGCTCTTTCGGCACAAGGAGAGAGCACCTGGCAAGAACTCCACCCTGGCAGAGCCTGGCACGCAGTAGGCGCTCAAGGACTAAGCGTTCACCGTAAGTGTAAGGGCTACCCCTGAGGTGCCGGCAGCAGGGCTGCAGCAAGCAGGAGAGGGGCCTGGAGCTCTGCTCCTGTGGGGGAAGGACTGGCCCTGCTAGTCGCTGTCGTTGTGAAGGCCACCAGCGATTGAGCGCTCCCATGTGCAGGCCCACGTCCTCCCTCGTCCCACGTCCTCCTCTGCTCCCGTGTCCTTGCTAACGGGTCACTGCCCACACCATTCTCTACCCAGGAGCTTGGAGAAGGTAAGAGAAAGTAAAACCCGTCCCTCCCCACCTCATTTTCTATTCTTTGACCTCCCTCCTGTTTTTTCTGCCTCCCTTCCAGATCCGTAAAGAAATCCGTAATAGCGTGTGCATGCATGAAGCGCCGCCAATAAGGCCCTGTCGCACCGGGGTCTTCCCCCTGGTGGACCAGTTCATCGGGATCTGAAGAACTGCCCCAGTGTTTCAGGTTGACTGACCAGGGATCTGAACCTGCAGCCAGCCATGTGGCTTCCAGCACTGCAGTTAGTTCAGGATGCTACCGCCTTCACCCTGACTCTGCTACAGTATGACCATGGCAGGAGTACAGGAACAGGAGAAGAAACACGACAAAGACCTCATGTCTTTTTTTTTTTTTTAATCAAAAAGAAGCACCTCTAAAGCAACCAAGTCCCTTCATTCCTGTGGTTCTGCAGACTGACCACCTGTACTTTGGGGACTTCACAGTTTAGCCTTGATTCTGTACCCTTAAATGGCATCGATCACTATACCTTCACACGTAGCGACGAGCTTATTAAGGATTTGTAGAGGCAAACTGGACATAACCTTCCTTCATTTAAAGTAGCTCAGAACACATGAGATGAGAGTCATAAAACACTTCCCACCTGGGGAAAGTACCTAGCATTGGGTTTTCACTTAATAACTATTCTTTAAGTCAAAATCTATCAAGGCGTTTCTTTTATCCCATCCATCAAATGGGACCATTCAGGAATTAGCTTTCATTACTGGGCCAATCCAACAGTCACTTAGAAGGGGACCAAATTAGGTCACTTAATAGAGGTGACTTATTCACTGTAACAATTCCCTATTAGTTCCTGGGAGAGTTTCTAGCTGTATTAGCGGTTAAGCAGGCCCACATTAACCCACGTGACCTAACAGGGGTGAAATCTGGTCTAGCAACTATAATCAAACCAATCACAGCCCATGGCTAACAGGTACCCGGACCAGGTTGCTCTTCCATTCTCCGGTTCACCTTGGAAACAGGTAACCCAGCAAACCGATCGTTCCTCTTAATACTAGCTCCTCAGTGCCACAGTTCCCGTGAATTTTACCTGTTTTTATTCTCCCGTCTCTGCTTATGACTCCTCCAGGCTCGACACTGATGACGTAGATGGGCAAATCCCATTCTCTGTGCGATGCTCCCCCTGCAACGGTCATGCCGAGAGATTCGCTGGGGTCTTTTCGGATACTTACCACCTTCTCGTGGCAGGTAGCTGCAGGATGGAGGAGCTGAAGGCCCAGAGAGAAAACATGCACATGCGGTCACAGGTGGGGTTATGTTACCCTCACGGAAAAACTACCAAAATGGCTTCAATTCTGCACATTGCATAAATACGATGGCAGCCCTGGGCATCGCAGAGAAGGAACATGAAGAGAACCTGCACTTTGCTTCCTTTCCCCCATAAGAGAGTTATATTATCTCGAATTCTCCAGGGTCACTCAGAGAAAGTTTACATTCTTTTTTTGAGAGATTTTTTTGCTATAGGGCACCTGGGCTCACTGGAGAGACAGAGAGAGAGACAGAGAAACAGAAAGTGAGAAATCACCCGCAGGGGGGATGGCCACACCGCAATCCCTTCTCCTCCGCTCTCCTCTCAGAATTTTGAGTATGCCTGCACACGCGTCTGGCATAAGTTTTAAGTCACTGGGTCTGGGACTTGAACCGTGGTTGACTATGTGGGAGTACAGCAACATAACCATTACACCATCTGATGGTCCCGAAAGTTTACATTTCAAAGAGGCAGTGAAAACAGAAAGAGGAACAGGTTGAGACCAATGGAGAAATCTTGAGCTACAAAGTGAGTGGGTCTGTGGTCCTGAAGAGGAGGAAAGGAGAACAGACCCTTCTAGTCATTGCGAAGGTGGTACCTGATGAAGCTCCTCCTAGGTGCCCCATGTCCATCCCTCACACCGAATCGTACACCCCAAACTTCTCAAATAAGTCACTCTTCCTGGTAGTAATGAGTTCATATTTCGAAAAAAAGTAAGCACATATTTTTTTCTTTAATCATGATAGAGCACTTGTGTGTGCATGCGGAGGTGAATAAGATTAAGAGAGAGACCCTCCACAGAGTCTGGCCACACCATCATCCCCTTCCTCCAGTACTCCAGCCTTCCAGATCTTGGACATACGTGTGCCCTCAGTATGTTTCAGGAAGACGGGCCTGGGGATTTGAACCTCAGTTACCATGTTGGGTTGGGCTTTTCATTTTTTTGGAGAGGTTTTGGCCTTAGGGTGTAAGCGTTTGCTGGAGAGAGAGACAGAGACAGTGAGAGCGAAAGTGAGAACTCACTCCCGGAGGTGGGGGACGAAGGCCATGCATGCTGCAATCCCTTCTCCTCCATTCTCCTCCTGGGCTCTTGGGCACACATGCACACGCGCCCAACTTGAGTTTCAAGCCACCAGGTCTGGGACTTGAACCGTTGTCAGCCATGTGGGAGTCCAGTGAGGTAACTGCTATGTCATGTGCTGGCCCTGGGCTTTTGAACAGTGTGCTACCACTGTGCCATGGAGCCAGCCCATACAAGAAAAAGAGCCAAATAGAGTCTCCTTCCACACGTCCTCAGTGTTCACCAAACAGGCTTGTCGGCGCTGAGCACAGAGGGGCTCCCCACAATGACTGGAATACCACAAACGAGCCGTGTCCTGTGTCCCCCACGGCCACTGTTAGCAATGGGAAAGCGCGAGTCTCCCAGGAGCCTTCGCTCAGATTGCCTCACTTTGCTTGGGGACGAGAGTTCAGTACGAAAGAGATGGCTTTTTTTTTTTTTCCCTTTTGCTATACTGTGCGTGCGCTCATTGGAGAGAGACAGAGACAGGGAAAGTGAGAAAGCATCCTCCAGGGAGGATGGCCATGCCATAATCCCTACTCCTCCATTCTCCTCTCAGGATTCTGGACACATATGCACATGCACCTGGTGTGTTTTTCAAGCTGCTGGGTTTGGGGTTTGAACCACAGAGTTGCCCATGTGGTATCCACCTGACTTAACCGCCATGCTACCTGCTGACCCAAGATGACCTTTTTTTATCCGTCTTTTCTCCTCCTTCCTCCCTCCTTTGGAGACCTCAAATGTTTCCTAATGGTTAAAACATAATTTCTGATAAAATAGCTCAACCTGATTAGTAGATGTTATGGGCATCTGAGGATTCATCACTCACGCCATAAAAATATTTACATTTAGGACATTTGCTTTGGGGCTGGCCCCTAGAGCAACGGGTAAGCACTGGGCACCGGAAGCCGGATAGCACGTAGCCGACCAATGTTCAAGTCCTGGCCCTGGTGCCCTGAAAACCGTGTGCATACGTGCATGTGTGTGTGCCCCATATCCTAATGGGATGGAGAGCTGGAGACTGTGGCGTGACCACACCCCAACTGGGCTTCTCTCTCTTCTCCCACCCCTTTCTCTTTCTCTGGCAAGCACACGTGCCCTCTGGCAACTACAGGGAAAAAAAAAAGAATATTTGCTTTGGGTTTCTAAAATCAATCAATTTAGACACATAAAAAGCATAGAGAATAATGTACCTCGCAACTCAACATCAGAAATCTACGGTCTGCACACGAACCTCCTCTGGGCCTTCATTCCCTGCCCTTTCCCCCAGAGGTGACCACACTCCTAACTCTGGTGTCTTGCCTTCCTTTCCTTTAACCTTTTAATTGGCCAGAGCCTTTCTGCCCCACAAAACCTGGTTTGCCTTCTTTGATACTTCTCGACTCATTTAAGTTCATATATATATATATATATACATTTTTTTTCTGAGAGGTTTTTGCTATAGGCACGTGTGTTCACCAGAAAGACAGAGAGAGACAGAGAGACAGAAGTGAGAAATTACCTCCCGGGGGGATGGCCACACCGCAATCACATCTCCTCCATTCTCCTCTTGGGATCTTGGGCACGCATGCACACGCGCCCGGCGTGAGTTTAGGCCACCGGGTCCAGGACTCAAAACGCGGTTGACTACGTGGGAGTCCAGTGACATAGCCATTACACTAACTGCTGGTCCCTAAGTCCTATTTTCAAAAATCCATGTTGGTTTCGAAGTTCATCCAAACTTTCGTGGGAATATAAAAAAACAAATCATTGAGGGAACCAGCAGTTAGCGTAATGGCTATGTCACTGGACTCCCATGTAGTCGACCGCAGTTCGCATCCCGGACCCGGTGGCTTAAAACTCACACCGGGTGCCTGTGCGTGCGTGCCCAAGATCCCGAGAGGAGAATGGAAAGAAGGGATTGTGGCGTGACCATCCCCCCGGGGGGAGGGATTTCTCGCTTTCTGTCTCTATGTCTCTCTGCCTGTCTGGCGAGCGTACGCACCCTATAGCGAAAACCTCTCCAAAACAAAACAAAACAAAAGAAAACAAAAAACAATTCATTGAGAAGCCTTGTATGTCTTAGTTTTCTTTTAAATATGTCGGTCTTTAAGAAATTCATGGAAAATCTGAATGATCTAAACGTTTTTGAACCAAAATAAATGATATCTTATTCCATTTTTCCACAATTTTTTTCCTATGCCAGAGGGTGCATACACATGTGGAAGGGGAGGACGAGGGCCGGCCAGGTGGGATCCGACTTAGCCTCTGTGCTACAGGGCTGTGCTTGATATGCAGTTTCTTTTTTTGGTGTGAGTTTGTGTTGTGTGAGGGAATTTCAGAAGGCAGAGAGAACATACATTAAAATGAAAATAATTACAGTTTGCCAGTTTGTAAGTATGACAGGGGGCCACAGCAAAAATGAGGTCTGATACTTCTGGCTGTTCCCATGATTCGTGACGGGGGAGTGGAAAAACTATAAACCCAAGTGCGGGTGTGGGCCGCATTCTTAGCGGTTTAATGAATTAGAACAGAACATATTCCAGTGAATTCAATTAAAATGAGCTGATTAGGGCAACACTTTAGTTCAGCTAATAAACTAATTTTCTATGAGTAACTCATGTCAGTTTAACTCGAACACGCTAGTGACGGGTACTAGAGAAGACCGCAGGGGCCCTGACCATAGGTTTTAGCAGCATGTGCTCGGTCTGTCTGTCACCTGTTGTAAACAAACATGAAATTTATGATGGGGTGTGGCTGGCTGGAGAATGGGGAGGGAGGTGTCACTTTGTAGGCTCTGTAATGACCAGAGTAGAAAACAGAGATGCCCCCAAATCAAAATGCTAAGTATTGTTTCTATATATATGTTGGTAAAAACCTCATCAAAATGCTAAGTATTGTTTCTATATATATATGTTGCTCAAAACCTTAACTTGTACGATAGTCCATATCAAAGCATGGCCTCTGTGAAAGAAAAAAGGCATTCCCTACTCTCCATTGCAAGAAAAATAATGGCTACCTGTAAGGCTTTTTTTCTTTTCTTTTTTTGTTATAGGGTGTGTGCGCTTGCCAGACAGACATAGAGAGACAGAGAGACAGAAAGCAAGAAATCATCCCTCAGGGGGGATGGCCACACCGCAATCCCTTCTCCTCCATTCTCCTCTCAGGATTTTGGGCACACACGCACACGCGCCCAGAGTGTGTTTTAAGCCACCGGGTCTGGAACTCGAACCACGGTCGACTACGTGGGAGTCCAGCGACATAGCCATTACACTAACTGCTGGTCCCAAGCTTTTTTCTTTTTTAACAAGTGTAATAACCAGATCCCAGGAAAAAGGGTGACGTTCACTGCCACCACAGCAGGACGCCAGACCCAGGCTGCAGGACTCCCGATTTGAACTGAGGGTTGTGTTGCTTAGACACCCTCTGAATGAAGACTAAGGCCCCGCCTCTCGTGGAAGCCACAGAGCAGTTCAAACTGGCCTGAGCAGCCATTAGTGGCCTGAAGGGTGGGCCCACAGATGTTTTCCTCTTGCACAGAATTGCGGGGTTTGAATGCCGTAAGACAGGACATGTGTTTTTTGGTTTGCCCCAATCCCCACCACTCCCTAATGTTACATGAGCTTCAAGTGTTTAAGTGATCTTCCTTGGCCCTTATGTGAACATAAATATATTAAAAACAGCAGAGGAATCATTATTTTTATTTCCAGACAGACTGGGAAGTTAAAAAACCAGAAACCACTTGTTTCATTTCTAAGTGAATGGAAAACAGTCCTTCAGTGAAACAGCTTATAGTAAAAACATGACATCTACTTGGCTTAGACTAGAAATTAGGTCTCCGCATGAGGTCTGCAAGACCAGCTTTCAAACTCTCTGGTCCCTTCCCCTCTCCTGCTTTGATAGGAGACACCTGTCATCCCACCAAGTGTTAAAGATGGGACTTTGGCTTTTAGGTTTACAGTCAGACAGTGTTTCTCTAAATGACGAGGTCCAGAGATGAATGCAGAGATGGTTAAAGTATGGGCCTTCCCAGAAAATAGCTCCCTGCAGGAGCAGTGGACCCGCACCGGAGGGCCTCACCTTGGGAGTGCTGCTCCTCTGGCCTGGCCCTGGAGAGTGGCCGTGGTCACCGTTTTCCTGGAAGATGTCAGGGCCCTGCAGTTGAACCTGGCGGGACACGACGAGGTGAACACGCCTCTCGCTGGCCTGGGTGAGAAGACACAGGTGTTAGTCACTCTCAGGGTTTCTGTTCCCAACACCCGGCACCAGGGGCTTACTCAGGTGTGACTTGGGTTGTACCTTCTTAAAATGGAAAAACACGAGCCTAGTATTACGTGTCAGTGGCCATCCTGAAATTTGTAAGGTATGAGAGTTATTTCCTTGATCTTTAACCCAGAGAGTAAGGGTCACTTCAAGGGAAAACCTGGGGGTCTGGCTTAGCCAAGTCTTTGAGAAGACATAATCAATACTGCTGTTTTGTCTTGAGTGGATGGCTCTACTGCACATGTGCAATGTCTGAGGGTCTTTCTGGACAGAGAAGGTGCGCAGCGTGAAGCAGTAGCCCAGGTCAGAGTTCTCGGGTCACACAGGTGGACGGTCAGGCAAGAAATGGAGTCTGGGTCCTTTCCTTGATCTTTAACCCAGGGAGCTAATGGAGTTTGACAGAGGACCTGGGACCCTTCCGCCATGTGAGGACATAACAAGGAGGTGCGTCTGTGAGAAGGCAGGGCCTCCCCAGGCACCGGGCGGCCGGCGTCTTTGTCTTAGACTTCCCAGCCTCCAGAACCGTGAGGAATAACTTTCTGTTGCTTGTAAGTCCCCCAGGCTAATGTTTTTTGTTTTAGCAACCCAAACGGACTAAGACACTGCCTCCTCTCCATCTTTCTTCCCAGAGCACAAAACACTCCCACTCTCAGCAACAAAGACCTCGTTTTTATTTATTTATATATTTTTAGGGGGGGTTGGCTATAGGGCACGTGTACTTACCAGAAAGACAGAGAAAGACAGAGTGACAGAAAGCAAGAAATCACTCCCCCAGAGTGAATGTCCATGCTGCAATCCCTTCTCCTCCATTCTTCTCTTGCGATCTTGGGCAGGCATGCACATGTGCCCAGCATGACTTTAAGCCACTGGGTCCAGGACTTGAACCACAGTCGACTACATGGGAGTCCAGTGACATAGCCATTACGCCAACTGCTCGTCCCTGACCTCGTTTTTAAAACATTAAGCAACAAGAACCACACTGGTAAGACCAGATGCTCACTGACCAGCCCAATCATCTTGACTTAGCTTTTTTTTTTTTTTTTTAGATTTTTTGCTATAGGGCATGTGTATTTGCTGGAGAGACAGAGAGACACAGAAAGTGTGTTGGCCACTCTACAATCCCATTTCCATTCTCCTCTTGGGATTTCAGGTACTCATGCACACACGCCCAGTGTGAGTTTCAAGCTGTTGGGTCTGGGACTCAAACTATGGTTGACCAGATGGAAGTCCAGCACCTTAACCATGACACCGCCTGCTGGCCCCTTGACTTTGCATTCTTATTTAAATAAACTTCTCAGAATTCTCTTAAAATGCAGGGGCCATCAGTTGGGTCATTATACACTAGATGCATTTTTAATTTTTTTTAGTTTTTGCTACTGGGCATGTATGCTTGCCAGAGAGAAACAGAGAGACAGAAAGTGAGAAATCACCCCCTAGGAGGATGGCCACACCACAGTCCCTTCTCTTCCATTTTCAGGATCTGGGGCATACACATACACCTGGCATATTTCCCAAGCCAGGTCTGGGACTTGAACCGCATACTCAGCCATGTGGGATCTAGCTGCCTTGGCTGCTTTAACTACCACACCACCTGGCTGGCCCCTAGATGCAGTTGGTGTGTATGCTGTAAACTCCACCGTGGACAGTCGGCTGGGTGAGTAGCTTCATTCCTTTAACTTTAGAAATCCTGCCGAGCAGGGCCCAGGGAGGAAGTTCAAGTCCATTGCCCACTTTCTACCACCCACAGCCCAGTTACCTCTTCTGGTCTAGTCAGTCATTGCTCCATACCCCTCTTTTGCTCCGTTGCCTTCTGGAACTCCCTAGTGTTTTTTGTCACATATAAAGCTCAGTAAGGACAGAACAAAATTAATGAGCCCAGGATGCAATCATGAAGAAAGGGACATGAAGAACTGTGGGATTAGCCAACTAAATTCAGTTCTTGGAAGAGTATTTTGCAAGAACTGTGGCTCTTTCTTTGTACTGTAAGTCTCACTTATCCTAACAAGGTTATCTTTGGAAGTTCTCTGAAACGAAACTCACTAAAAGATAAACGAAGAACATCCAGGTCAGCACTTCAATGACTGAGCCCGAATACGCGCTCTTATCTTAGGGGAAATGCCAGTGTTTCGAAGGATGTGGGCAGTGCGTTTGTCCCTGTCTTGCAACATCGTGTCCCGTTCACCTCGGACAAGGACCAGCCACATGGCCTACACACCTCATAGGAACCGGGAACACTTCAGACTCACACAACAAATCACTTTGCCAGGCAAAATCTAAATTGCCCAGGATCCGCCTGCAAGAGCTATTTAATTCACGTCTTTTAGCACAAGTTTCTCCCTGGCTTTTCAAATGCTGGCTTTGTTATTAAGTCGCTGGCAGGAGGAACGCTCCAATAAGTAACTCTGCTATCAATTTACTTGGAAATAAATTCTCCGCATGGCTGGTCGGAGGCGCTTACCAGCCACCTTGTAAATTGCTCGCAGGGAGACTCTGGAGCACTTTCTTACATAGACTTGGAAGCTGTACAGTGGAAAACAGGCTGATGTGTTTGTCCTGGCTCCCACCCTCGCGGGCAGCTGGATTCTGTGTAGAGAAACAGCTCCTCGTACCAGAGGACCTTTCTGTGCGCTGGTGTGAACGCGATGTGTGTGCAGGAAGGGGGCGAGAGAAAGGCACAGACAGCCCGAATGAGAGAACAGCAGAAACTCGTCAACTTTATCCCCCCGCAGTATGGGCCAGGCAGACAGACTGGGGACACGCGTCATTTTCATGACACACAAAGGCAGAGTGTGCTGCATGAAAGAGGAAGGGCAGCCTCTCTCCAGCCTCCTGGGATGCTGCAGTCTGGGCCGAGGGTGGCTGGGTCCCTGTGGCCACCTTGGGGAGCGGACTTAGCTGATGGTGCCCTCTCGCTCCCTTCAACATCCTAGATTTGGATCCAGGCAGACCCTGGACACACTGGTGACAACTGGCAGAGCTTATTTCTGTGCTGGCCCGTCCCCAGCTCTCCCCAGAGCCCAGGCATTAAGCTCTCATTCCTGCAGGTTCGGGAAAGGGGTTCTGCTGCCCCCACACACTTCCGGTGGGTGTTAGCCTATGGGCAGCTTCTCCACATTCTGTCCCTCGGCTGACATGTCCTGCTCTGGGCCAGGAGCCTTGGGGACACGGTTCCTGCCCCAGTGGAACTTCTCTTACTTCAGGGTCAGCCAGCAGGTGCCATGGAGACATGGAACACACCAGAGGGCCTCCAGAGCTGCGCCGGGCGCTTCCTCAGAAATGGGAAGGCTCTAATGTTCAGAGACAATCGGGGAAGCGTTGGTTGCAGAAAGGCTTGTTTTTGTTTTGTTTCATTTTGCCTAATGACTTTTTCTGTTATTTTGAGACTCTTTTTGGAGGTTTTGACTCAAGCTGCCAATGACATTTATATGATGAGAATAAGCAAAGGTTAAAAAGGGAGCCACAGTCCTGCAGCCTCATAGTATTGGCCCATGTGTTCTTTTCTATATGGGATAGTCGAGCGGGAACCCGCGGAAGGCAAGCAGACTCCCCCAAATCCACATTGCTTTGCCTCCAGTTCTCATGTGTCCATAGATGGAGAACCACAGACATGCCTTTGTAGGGGGGTTGTATTTACCCAATTTTTAAAACTTTTTTTCTCTTCCAGTTTTTGCCAGAGGGCATATGTGCTTGCTGAAGACAGAGAGAGAGAAAGCATGCAGAATGGTCATGCCACAATCCCCTCTCCTCCACGTCTCCCTCCTGTTGGGGTTCGGGGATGCACATGCACACCCCAGCATGTCTTTCAAGCTACGGGGTCGGGGACTCGGGCTCCATAGTTGGCCATGTGGATCTAGCTGCCTTACCACCAGGCCGTGGGCTGGCCATATTTATCTGGTTTTAAATAACAAAAGCGCAGGTCTTAGAGCTGGTGTCATATTGCACCTCCCCGGCAAGCTTCTTCTCTGCGTGCAGCCTGGAAGTCACTCTCTTCCTTCCCAAACCCACCCTGGCTGGTCACAAGTGTCAGGATGCAATGCAGACCAGAAAGCTGCCTGCACAGGGAGGTGGGAATCAAAGATGCCACCACCCAAGGAGCAGGGAGAAGCGCTCTGCAGGGCTGACGCTGGTGCACAGGGCACCTTACTAGTAGTCTTGCCATGGCCAGGATCCGTGCTGCGGCTCAGAGGGCCAGCAGTAACCAGAGGGAGAGCAGGGGTTGATAGAGTACTTGTATGTCAAGGCATAAGCTTCTCGCCTCACCATAGGCCTCACCTGTCCATCCATCAAAGAGGACTGGCAGCGGACCAAGCGTGTCCCAGCATGGCTACTTTTTTTTTTTTTTTTTTTTTTTTTTTTTTTTTTTTTTTTTTTTTTTTTTTTTTGAGAAAGACAGACAGAGACAGAGAGACAGAAAGTGAGCAATCGCCCCCCAGGGGGGATGGCCATACCACAACCCCTTCTCCTCCATTCTCCTCTCATGATCTTGGGCACGCATGCACACGTGCCCAGCATAAGTTTAAGCCACCAGGTCCGGGACTCGAACCACAGTTGACTACATAGGAGTCCAACAACATAGCCATTACGCCAACTGCTGGTCCCATCAGCACTGTTTTTGCAACATATGTATATGCGTAATACGATGTTCAGTGAGCTGTGCCTAACTCACAGTGCTGCTTATACTGACATTAGCCTTATGGAATGAGAGCAGTCGCCACTTCTCCTTGCAAGGCTTTAGGGTATTTATTCCATCCAAAAACCTGAAGTGGGGAGACGCCAGACTGACTGGTAGGAAAGGACTGGCTCCCCGGTGCACGATGTCCTGCTCCCTCTGCTGCACAGTCTGGGCCACAGGAGCCCCCAGCTGGTGTGGTAGGCCCTGGTTGGCAGAAGGGAGCTGGGACGGGTTCATGGTATAGGCAGCTTGTGGTGCTAGTCTCTACCTG